AAATAAATTCGAAAGTTCACTTCAAAAGACCTTCGAAGCTTCTCAAATTAATTATGTATACAAAGTAATTATTATTTTTACATGTATTAAAACGTAATTATGATGAGACTTTTTATTTATATTAATTTTTAAGTACTTTTATTATAAATTATTGTATAATGTTTTGCCAAAAAGTATTAATTTACATTAAATGCTATAAATATTGTATTATATTTACTGGTTTGAGCAGTTAGTATGTGTATAGTTTAAGTTTCGTCTTAACGAACGAAAGAACGCCAATTGTGTAGAGAAAGGGTCGCGTGCGCAGGTTCATAGAGCTATGAAGAGTATAGAGGTGACAGAGGTGTAGATAAGAGAATTTAAAATTAAAATAATTAATTATAAAACGGTTTCTGCCGACGATTAAGTTCATTACCTATAATTCGAATATGAACAATTAATATAAAAATTTACAGTTTCCAAGTTTTAATTCATAATTTACCTGGATACTGTTATCAATAATTAATTATTATAGACAAATAATAGTTTTCATCAGTTGCAATAAGTAAGAATTTGTGTTTAATTTGATCTTAGGATACTAGAATTATCATAATAATTTATTAAAATCAAGTAAAAATTTTGATGAAATTGTACATAATAAATAAAAAGTAAAATTTCTTCAACTCATAAAAGCTATATATTTTTATGTCAGTACAATTATTAATTATGGTCTCTTCTAGTAGTTTGTAGATCTACACCGCAGGTGCGCAGGCGTCACCTTTAAGAAAAAATATAATTCGTTGTGGATTCAGAGTTTAACGGACTAAGGATGGACTGGACTGTATATGTTTTATATTGTATTACTGATAAATGAGAAACTTAAAAGATATGTATTACAAGCCATAAATAAGGATTTCACTTGTACTTAATTAGTTTCCTCAAAGAAATGGGGTATAATTGGTAATAATAATTGAAAAAACTTACATATATTGTAAACAAAGTAATATGAAAGCCTTATATTTTAAGTTAATATCTCTTATTCAACTTGGTCTTCATGAAATTCCGTGTGTATAAGTATATTAATATGTTAAAATGAATTATCATAATAATTACACCGTCGTGAACTATCCGTGGTACGTGCTGGGTGTGTTAACAGACGTGTGTTTACAGTGTGTCGTGACGGTGTCACATCCGCCTATTGTAAGATGAACTATCTTTAGGAAGATCAACAGGAAAAATAGAGTTTAATGTTTGTTGGTTGGGTTATTATAGTTGGGACTGACTTGATCTTTCTGGTGTGCGTGGTATAGCTGGAAGTCTTTGGAAAGATGTGTCTGCATGCAGGTTGGTGAGGTCAGCTATCTTCCTGGCACGTTTTTGAGGAATTTTACTGTTATGCAAGGATTTTTCTAGCGATTAAAAGTTAGCGTTTTTATTAACATTTCTTTTGGCTATTGTGAATTTGTGATAGAGTACCGTAAATGGAAAAACTGGTCGCTTGAATCTTGCGCAAATGATCAAGACTGCTTTTTATGGTGTAGAGACCTCTATTGTGGATTTCATGTAGTATTTGTGATAGTAATCGTCATCTTCCTATAGAAGAAATAATTACTTTTTAAAGAAACTACAAAAGTGATCTGAGAAATGTCTTCCAAATAATAAAATTGTTTTTTGTTTATATTTATTAACAAATATATGTAATATATAAGATATTTGATATTTCATAAGGATTATACTTTAACATTAAACGAAAACTTGCACTTTAATTATTGCAAGTGGGGGGTAATTTACTATTTGTGTCAATGATATCCTAACAGCATATTTTATATCATCTAACATACAAGCAAGATTTCCAAAAACAAATGCATTTTTCTTATTATTTCAATCAAACCTTTATCCACGGCACGCGCCCCATCACGTTGCATGTAGTGGGTGTGTGTAATATTTTTTTCAATAACTCCGCGCCCAATGTCTTCCTCCAATAATAATATTATTAAAGCGTCATCTTGGCCGCGTATGTTATGACTTGGCTCGTGCCCTCTGTTATCATTATAATACAATAACTCACGAAATACAAATAATGGTTCACAATTACATAATAAAAAAAATCTTTATACATATATAATCTTCTTTATACATTAATAATTAAAGAAATATTAGCCTTAAAAATTATATATTGGTATAAAATCTAGTTTTAGACGATCCAAAATCTTTATTTATGAATTATTTTGCTGATGTTTAACGAAAAAACATTCGATATAAATCCATACTGAATAAAAATCCTAAACATAATTTAAATAAACCATAAATATAAAGAATTAAAACGAATGAAATCGGTTAACAATTAGTCAATAACAACTTGTAGCTTCAATTAACGAGATATAAAGAAATCTGCATACAAATATAGAGGTTAAAAAAACCCAACACCAAAATGCGAGGGTGTTGGTATCACCATGGTAACTAACCCCATCAACCTCCGCCCCACGGAACAGGAAATGAGGTTTATCCCCCACAGGAAGGATACCTGGTCTCAGTACAATTTGTTACCCATTTCACATACTTCCTTGTAATTTAAGAACTATGGTAGCATTCAAATTGTCATTACGTGTACGACATTACTTGAAGCAGTTTAAAAAAGATTGCCCAATAAATATATATATATATATATAATATTAGATTTTTAGTAATGTAGAACAAATCAAAGATAATATTTGTTTTGATAGACAGCTGTTTATTAATTCATTGAGTGTGGTTGTTGAGCACATTTAAAACTTGTTCGTTTATTCACCCTTTTATATATTACGCATTATTCATTGGAGGGTGTTTGACTTTAATTCGCGAGGGTGATAATATACTGTACAGGTGCGGGTTAGAACACGTAGGCGGAAAGGTGGTACAGATATGCTCATATATAGTCGGGGATAGTGCAAATCGTAACTAGCATTGGATAATTATTTATTTATTTATTTATTTTGTTATATAACCAACAAGAATACACACCAAGAACATTTCAGATACATGGATATTAGATAAAACTAGTGGCATTTTAATTTAAGGTGATAACAGTATTCACAAAAAAATAAAAAATCAAAATTAAGCGACAACAAGCAGAAAAAAAAAACAAAAAAAATACTAATTAACTAACAAACAACAATTTAATTTTTTTATAATAATTATCGTATCTACATTTGAAGCAGCTTATCAAAAAGTTTAAGCTGAAATATTTGCTATATTAACGACTTTTAAGGTATTTTCTTGACAATTAGTAATTATAGCTTGCTTCTAAATAGATACGCGGAATTATCCAATGCTAGTTACGCAAATTTGTTCTATCCGCGACGATATATAAAATTTTACAAATATATTCTCAATAATGTTTTATTATGATATATATATTGTTTATAAATGATATATTTATCGTGATTTCTATCGTGTTGTATATATTTGATTGCGGCCATATTTGTGGTGGATATTTCTTCTGGGAAGGGAAAGGCGGTTGTCATGGAGACGTGTCGCATCAACACTAACACACAGGTTAAACGGACAAGATGGTGTCACACTGAGAATAAAAATATATATAATATATAAAAGGTGGGTTCTCAGGGTGGCGGCGTAAATGACGATACGTTATATAAAGGAACACTTTTAATGCACGTTACAACGGTTAGAATACTAATGCCCGATATATTCAATATGGCGGTATAGCGGTATTATATTCAATATCTTGACTTAATTTAATATTAAATTTGTAAACTTAAGAGATAATATTAAACATTGTTTATCTTAATTATACTAATTATTATTTATGGACAAATATTATTTAATAATACAGGATTATGTAACATTAAATATTAAAGGTTGATATATTACACCGGAAGTTTATAATCTAGTCATATCAGTAAAATAAGGTTCTAGTAGCTTAATTCTTGCATTATACACAACAAAGCAAAATTATTATAGCATTGATTAATCGACATAATTTGAGAGAATATAAATAACAATAAGCAATATTTATTAGGCGCCATTAATAAATAGAATAACATATAATAAAATGTTCCAAGTATAAACAAATATGAATCAACTATTTATTTGATTATTAAATTACTAAATAAATTGTTGAACAGAAGTTTTAATCTATACTTATAAATAATCATCACGATGTACCCGAACTAGCCGTGTATGTAGGACCGGAAGTATTAATTGATAACAAATATTATGACTTTATTATAAGAGAAAAAAGGTGGAAAGTCTGGTTGAAGATATATGTATTTTGTAAAATTAAGATCGTTGTTTGAATTTTAATGTTTAATAATAATGAGAATTTCATTTACATGGAACAGAAAAGGTTTTGATTGTGTAACGATTTTCCGAAACCTGTCGTGATTTTAAATTTTGAATAAACAATATCTTATGTTAGTTTAAGATTAAAATCTGTTTTTTTAGAAAAAGATGGAATTAGAAATACTTTAAGGACGAAGACACACAAAGGAGTTAATTATAAACTATCAAAAAAGATTACACTCTTAAGATTATTACCTTATTATGTCCTTATAAGTTTGTCTTTTAATTAATATATTTTTCACTGTGTGTTACCACCCTGTATGTGTGTGTGTGTGTGTGTGTGTGTGTGTGTGTGTGTGTGTGTGTGTATTTGACACGTCATCGATGTCACCGATGTCACGTTATGATAGAACTTCAAATATATAATAATACAATAACTATAAGAATAAAACTAATAGATTAGATACAAATACTATACGTACATGATGGGACTATGGTTGAACTACTAGGATATAAAACAACTTTAACATAACTTTATAAATACCCTTATTTGAGGTAAAATTAAATGTTTATTTTAAGGTATTATTAAGATGATTCACGTATTAATTAATAAGTTATGGATATAAATAAAATTCGTTTCATATATTATTGCTTTAATTCGTCTAGCATCGAGTATCTAGTATCCCAAGTAATTATTTCGAACATTTCTTATATAAAAAACACAAATAGTTCCAATGGTTTTATGTAGCAGTTTTATCAGTTATAGCCAGCGGTGCTTGTACTATAAGTACCCCGTCTTTGGACAGTGAGGAGGTGATGTTTGTGGGGTCCACGCCTTGGGGGAAGTAGAACTCCCTCTTATACTCCCTCAGACTAGTGCTGGTATCCGTACTCTCCTTGTGGGCGGCGGATATCATCAGCTTGTTTTGTAACATGCTGACTGTGACCTGGTGATAGAAATTAATTTGGACTTGGAGTATATGAGGAAGAATATCAATAATATTATTGCAAAAAAATATGAGATTAATTATGCTTAAAATCAGTTGCTGGTGATGTAAATTCGACTAGTAGCCTTAACATAAGTGGAATAGGCTTATATGAGGACGAAGATTTATGTGCTTAAAAAGCAGTTGTTAAAACATTAGTCTTAATATAACTGGAATAATCTTGATCATATACTACAAAGAGTTATGTACTTTATAATTGAGAATTTATTCGCCCAAAAAAATTCATTAATACTTATATTTAGGACATCTAATACAGAAATTAAATACGTTTAGATCCAATCTAAACATTTGATGGTATATTTTATTATGGTCTCAATGAAACCCTTTTAGAAAGATCATTAGCTTATGTAATGATTCCAGTAAATCTGACTCACCTCTTCAGGGTTGAATTGGCTCACATCGAACTGTAGTTTGAGTATTTTATTCTCCCCCTCACCTTCCACTAATGGGGAATTGGTGAGGAAATCAGTATGAGGATCTGGAGATGAAGTATTGCTGTCCACACGAGCGGCCTGGGATTGGAGGAATCTATTGCTGAAGATTTATCAGAATGTTAATAAAAATAGCCTTTACATCCTTATATTGTTATTGTGGAAATTTCTTAATGATTATGGGAACTGGTTGGAACGTCCAGAGTTGAAAAAATATTTTGTATGGATAAAATGAATCACATGCAAGTAAGAGTTTATTTTAGACAATTTTACGTCAGTGGACCAAACTGATAGTCATAAAGCTTTAAACATCAGTTCTATACTTAAGCAGACCCTGGCTAAATCTGGGAGGTTGCCAGGAAGAAGAAGTTATAAAGCTTTATTTCTCGTATATATAATTTTCCTATGACATTTCTATGGAAAGTAATATATTAAGAGATAGTATGATGCTTATTTAGTGTTATAATAGATTTTTTTACCTGAACTTGACCATGGCTTCGTCAATTCTCTTCATCTCAGCCACGAAGCGTTCCTTCATGGATGTAAACGCATCATCGAAGACAAGAGTCTCCGTTAGTTCAACGGGAATTTGGACCTGGTTTTCAGACATTTTGGATTATATTTTTTTTGGCTTTTTTTTCTAAAACTATGACACTATTGATAGAAGATGACTGACGTAAAAACTTGATTGTGAATTTAAAGAAGTTTCTTTAGTTTTTTTTTGTGAATGGCCAATAATTAATATCGATTAAAGGAAGTATGTAGTTTCATTTATTTGACTAAATTATACAAATAGCTGGAAAGTGCCGGAAATAATAAAACCTTTGTTTTTTCTTGTTTTGTATTTCTTGTATTCATTAATTAAGGACGGTTAGAAATCTGATATTTCAATTTCATTTAAGTTAAAGTATAGATAATATTTAAAAAAAACTTAAGGCTGTATAGAACTAAACAATTTCATTTCTGTGAAGAACGTTATTAATATTTAACAATTCACAGAGCTTTTATAAAACCTAGCGTGCGATTGCTAAAACCTAAATTCCTAGAAAAACTGCTTCGTGGAAAATGAAGTCGTGTAGCGAAAACAAAATTCAATTAACGTTTGACATTTGATTTTTTCTCGTCATTAAATGTCAGTGTTGCCAGATAACTAACTTCACCCCCGAGATGTGGTATTTAGGCCCCCTCAGGGCAGATTGTCAATCCCACCCTTGGCGCCATGGCGACCGAAGTCTAAACATCGGGCCCTATTAATCTCAATGTTAGGGCGTGTCAGGAGGGTGACTAAGGTTTCGAGAATTTATAAAATCCAAATAGATTTATCCTAGATTATGTTTAAAGAACATTTTAATATATATAAAAACAAAATTAGTGCATATTTCGTTTTGATACTACAGTACAAAATTGTACTTACGATTACCTTTATATTTAAGATTTTTTATTAATAAAAACTAAAATAATAAATGTATTTACTTGTGAATCAAACCATATTATTTCTATCAGCTCGATTTGTATTCTTAGTTCATTATTCAATTTATTCAAATTAATATAATATGTAAATATATTTAATTATGGTAACCCCAGTGAGTGAGAGGGCTCAAATCGAAACCAAATTGGCGGGAAAGCTGTTCATTTGACAGATCATTTTTTATTCCGTTCGAAAATTTGGCAGTCATTGTTCCACAAATTAACAGCTGCCAGGAAATGAATTAAAGATGTTTTATCAGACACGAAATGATACTAAAATATAAAACAGATTATAAAATTACGTTCATATTGAACGAGTGGTATATAATCTGTGGTATAAATATATTTTCTTGATGGAGGATTGAGGAATCATCCAAATTGGATTGGCTCTTCAACAGCTCGTATAATTTGATTTCTTTAATAACATAATTGGCTTTGCTTCCGAATTAATCTCTGTAATCATTTTCTTAAGTTATAAAACTTTATATATAAAATAATTATTAATAAATTATAATTTTATATTATTAAGAGTCATCATATACTCGTTTTATTCATGTCGGTTAATCTCATTAGTTTGTGTATCGTTTTATAGACGCAAGTTAATGTACTGGTAACAAAAAGTGTATTGTAGGGGAGCATTTTAATTCCCGTAAAACGCAATAACATCTCAGGGGAGAATTAACAAATATCATTACTCCTACCTTCATATTGGTATAGACGTGATGAAAAATTAAATTAATATTATATTTTAATATTTTGATTAACATATGAAAAAATATTTAAAACATGTCACTTGTCAAAATTAGTGGAATATTTTAACTGACATTATATTCTTTTTATTATAGACAGTAACTTAAAGTTATACAGCCAATGTGGGTATTTATAATATTAAAAAAATATCGTTATAATATGTTATTTTAACTTAATATTCAGGATATTATTATTAAACTGTAATTTAACATAATTAGTATTTATCATATATCTGTGCTCGTCTGTACTGACGTGTGTTGTTTCATATTTGCTCTCTCAAACAAATATTACTTCATATTGTACACTAATAATTTCTTTGGTGTTTTCTATTTATAAATATGGCCGTATTTACATTGAATATTATTGATTAGTGAGGCAGCTTGTAGGTTTCTTTTAAAATTTGGTTAGGTAGAGAGGAGCTTGGACAGTGGAGGTGAGTGTTTAACGCGTTAGATATGGTCCCTTAAACCTACACCTGGGTCACAAGCCCCAGTCACTGTTGAAGCTCCTCTCACTACAACTATGGACCCGACACACGCACCGTGAATACATGGAATGATGAGAGGTTTCGTCCCGGAATTAAAATTACAAATTAAGTCAATATAATTCTACGTACAGTTATAAATGAAATATCTTTTTAATGATTATAATTAATATTATATATGTCTCTAAAGTATTCGTATCTTCCCTATCTCCTGATTCTGCTATTACTCATCACGTCTAACTCCTGGATATCACGACATCATCACAATCAGTTAATTGTCGAACATAAACAGTAGGGGAGAACTACCATCGGTTCTCGAACTTAAAATATTAAAATAACATTTCATATTAATGATTACGGTTGCTGTAAAATAACCGAAACGTTTGGAGTATGTAGTTTTTATCAAAAATAAAGTCGAATAGTATATCGGAAAAATATTAGTTTTATTTAAATGTATAAATATTATTTACATTGTATTACTAATAGTAATATTATTATTGAATAAAATTAAAATAATTTATTTAAATAAATTTAATAGTTAATTAATATGATAGTTTTAAACGAACAAAGTTAGTATATCTATGTTGTATATATATATGTTTTTTTAATGATTTTATTAATATTGTTAAGTGATATTTTATCGAGTTTCCATAGTAGTGGTAAGTAAACCTCAGTATACACGCGATAGCCCTGAGATCATATCTCAGACGCGTGTCGGAAACAGGGAGCTAATGGATTGGATTTTACAATTATTGTTATAAATATTATTAAAAAATATACTTAAACATACTGTTACCTTAGTTTAGTTTAAAATATTATATATATGTAACTATTTAATTTCTTTCGTATGTAATTCTTTTATTTGTAAAACTATAATTTTTAATATATGTATCTTCCTTTACATACCAGATATGTTTACTATTTATTTTGTTTTTTTTTTTATAAGTTATATTTTGTCATCTATATATACTAGATTCAACCGCGACTTTAGTCGAATGTTTGATATAATGAGATTTATGTAATAGGTATATGGTAATTAATAAAAAATTTCTATATCTAATTGATTGACACATACATGCACATAGACTGATAAATATATGTTAAGATGATTTTATTTTATCTAAATTGATTGATAGAAAATACAAAGCGTATTTAAAGAGTGACCTTTTTTGGATATGAAAATATTAGTTACAGTTAAAATTGATTAAATTCTTATATTATCTTAGAAGTTTATTATGATTTTGTAAGTAATAATTTATAATAAATGCAAAGTTTAATTAGTAAATCTATTTAAATAGTATCACAAGCTATGTATCTGTTACAAATAATCAAAACCACGTTTCATCCCAGGTACACATTTATCATGTTAGGCCTTGCAGATCATAAATATTCTACTCTTTAAACACAAAGGCGATTCACGAAAAAAGTCCGAATAAAACAAATTCATATCACACACGATCTATCACGAGGTGCAGTTAGTCGTGATAGATCGTGATAGATCGTGATGACATCTATCACGATAAAACAATCATTATAATAACATATATTGAATATTTTTTGGATTTTTCTGTACTATCCTATAGAGTATGAACAATATATTTTTATAAAACACTAATATTCTAATAAGTCTTTATTAAAACAAAAGAAAAACATAATTTTTAATAACTATTTCAATATTTTTACGAAGATATATACAGGATGACTGGTGAATTACTATCGATAATTGAGGACGTGATATTTGACGATCATATATGATCATATAAATATTAATAAACTTCTAAGTAAAGTTAACCAAAAGTTATGTAATTAATTACGCATCGTGTGAACACCCTACAGATTAGGTATACACACACACACACACACGCGTGCGGCGGCGTGGTGTTGTATCAGCACGCGTCCACACTTGGAACACTTGGAACTTGTCCACACTTTATTTATTTATACGGAAATTTGGTCAAAAAATAAGTACCTATTTTTTTTACATAACTCGAATGAGAATCATGTACCGAGTATGCTCCTTAAATATTGATAGTAATTCACCAGTCACCATGTAGAACATAACATAGTTTAATATCTGTCAAGTGTCAAAATATATTTCATGACATAAGTTCGTTGCTCCGCGCCAAAATCACATGCTAAATGTCACTGTAACGTCATTATGTTTTCTTTGATATGCTGATTTTAGTATTCATGGTATGAATTATAATTTTAATTATAATTAACAATACACTGACTAAACTATTGATTTATTTGAGTGATCTTATTGTATGGAACGAGACATTTTCGTATAAATATATGACTTTTTTAAATATCTGTTTTAAAAGAAAGTCGTGTTAGTTTCACTGTTTATAACTTGCGAACGGCTGTAGGAATATGGTTGAAAATTGGTGGAAAGATAGATTAGAACCAGGAGATGGACATAGAATATTTAATTCAGTTCGATGGAAACAGAAAACAAAAAATATATAAATTCGATTATCTGGTTATTCGGCTATCTGGTTGGTTGGAGGAATAGAGTAGACTTGTCAGTTACATAATACATGTATTTCTAATTCAGAAATTAACGCGGACGAAGTCCCGAGCAAAATTTATACCATAATAAAAAATATAAATAACATATATTTTTCAAATAAAATATTCTTAAAGAATACTTTACTTATGTTTATTTATGTAAAATAAGACTATAGTATTATTTAATTCACAACCAATATATGTATTCAGTGTGAGTCTATACTCTATGGTTGTATGTTACAGTCTGTGTCTTCATATCTATGAACCATCGACATATACTAATGGACATGCCTTAGAGATGAGAATTGTGGCACTACGAAAGAAAGAGAGGGAATGAAGTTTCGGTCTATCTTTATTTGTCTCAAAATAGTACCGTACATATGAGGAAAGAGATAGTG